AAAATGACAATAATAAAATTTAATGTACACATAGACGCATATGCATGACTGTGTGTGTGTGTGTGGGTGTATGTAAATGTCCTTTACTAACCGTAAAAACGTTTTCGACTGTTGCAGCAGCACCTAAAAAAACTAAAAAAGTTGCAACGTCATGTGGCAAGCGGCAAGGGGTAGAGTTGAAAGTCATCTAGTTTAGTAAGCGGGGATAACAGGAGCCCTTTGCCAGGCTCTAGAGGCAGGTTTGCGGGGTTGCGGGGTCGCCGGGCTGCCAGAAGTCGAAGTTCGTTGCTTGCAAAATGAGGCGGGCGTGTGTGTGTGTGTGTGTGTGTGTCTGTTGGAGTGTGTGCAGCAGACCAAAACACTTCCTACCGCTTTGGCCAAGTATCATTAAAAATATAAAAGTATTTTATGCACCCACACACACACACACCCGTACACACACATGAACAGTTTTGCTGCACATTAAGCCAGTCACATGACTGTCCTATCTATGTTTCAAAGTGTGTGTGTGTGTATATGTGTGTGGTTGTGTGTATTTTACCTTTTCATATATACATTTGTATATATTCTGACATACCTATTTTTTTTTTTTAGGACATTGTCGTTGCCATTTTCATACACTTGCAGAGGATCCTTCAATTTTGTTAGAAACTTTGTAACTCATTGTAAAAGACGTCTTGGAGTTCATTAAGTGTATACATTCCTGATCCGTAGCATATCAGCGATATGCGCCTGTCTGCCTTTATGCAGGCTTTCTTAATGCAGCTTGACTTGAGATCCGTTTTAATATCGATAAATATCGATTTCAGATATGTTTTATCAAGCATAAATCGAGGATTATAAGAGCACAGCATAATTTGATAGATTTAAAGTATATCACTTTTTGAAGACCTCTCCCCATTCTCCCTAAATTTGTTAAAGGAACTTGTTATTAAAGGTAAAGCCTTGAGCTTTGATATGCACACAGAGTAGGGTGTCATATTTGGGCACTGAAAAAAAGGATCGTACTCTAGACAACGACAAAAAATTGAAGACTGCAGTTCCCATAGAGTTTGGTTGGGGAAAAAAGAAACCCGCTCTTAGTTTGAGTAAATTTTCCGGCTTAGGGCATCTCCTAGTCGCGCATACCCCACTAAAGCGCTCTTTCGTGTTTTTTATGTGTCGTGCTTTGTGCTTGTGCTTTTCTGGCAAGTCATTGTCATTTGGTCAGCTGCAAACAGCTGCCAGTTTTCATCTAATGCCCGTCTGCAGCAGCTCCTCGCAGCTGCCACAATTTGTGGCAGGGCCAGCGCCAGCGCCAGTTCCAGTTCCAGTTCATTATCATGTTAATTTTGTTGTAATTTGCTTGCTAAATGTTGCCAAGTCGTCCCCATCCTGGTCCTCGCCCATTTGGAACATTTTCCGTAGTCGCTTCTTTGCATATTTAACTTTATTTATGCTTTTTGCATGTTTTCATATAGAAAATTAGAATTTTTGACTTCTGTACGTTGCCCTCTACCCTCCCAGGCCTTTCTTCTTGCCTTTGCCACTAATTTGGCAACTATTTTCGCATCGAAAGTTTTCTTTTGTGGCAACTTTTTGGGCTCTGCCACAGAATATGTCACGAATTATTGTCCCAATCGTTCGAGTCGGAATACCTCTCGGCCTTTTGTATGCTGACAACTGTGCCGCCCTTCCCCGCACCTACACCACAATTGGCCCCACCGACTGAGTCATTGTGTGTGTTTGCCTTCCTCTGAGCCCGAGCCCGAGCCTCCCATGTGTGTGCGTGTGTGTGGTTGTGTGTGTGTGCGTGTGTGCGCAAGGATAATGATGTGCACAGCTCTTGACTGTGTGTGTCAGTCAGTCAGTCAAAGAGTCAATATTTTGTTTGTAACGTTTATGCTAATTATGCATGTTGACATGGAAAACTGTGTCACCGTACGGCCCTAATTACACTCGAGAGATTTGCCCGGAACATTAACTAGCTTGGACCCCATACGAGTCGACGGCACATTTCGGGCCTGTCGACCGAACTCGACTCTCGGCGCCCACACAAATTAATTGGAACTTGTGAGCTTGGCAGCATACCAGACACAATGTTGTTAAATATGTATTTGCCATATTTAAAAGCAACAGAGTCTTATCAAATCAGTGCTAGCAAGGCTCGAAGTACTCGACGAGCACATACTCTGTTTTCAGCTACGAGATGTTTGTGTGTATTTCAATTTGAAGGACTGTCTTCCAACTGCCAATCGATATTTATCGATTTTAGGCAAGCCAATAGTATCTCTCAAGAGCTTTATATAAACATGCCTTCAACTCTTCGTATAATTTGAGAGACCTGCTTTAAAAGTCGGAGTTGGAAATCGATATATATCGATCTGATTGGCATAGAAATAGTCTTCGATAAGTTGAAAGCAACTTGATCTGCGTTTGTTCTTGCCTTTCTAATTCTTATAGTCTAAGAGACATACTTGAAGAGCAAGTCGTGAAATCGATATTTATCGGTTCTAATTTTAGCAATTCTATAATTTAGCAAATCTGATATCCTTAACTCTCATTACCTAAGAGATATGCTAAAAAAAACCCATCGAAGTAGATTTCAATTAGTATAAAGCAACTTGAACTGCGTTTGCTTTGGCAGACGAGACTTTTCTAGTTTTGAGACTATTTCCAAGTCTAATAATCTGAGACGTGCTTAAATCAAAATATACAATCGATATTTATCGATTCAAGGCACGCCTACATCACGCCTTAACAAGTGTAATGTCCTTAAGTCTTATCATCTAAAAGATATGCTGAAAAAATGCATGGCTGGCAATCGATATTTATCGATAAATTGAAAGCAACTTGCAATAAGCAAAGCGACACTGCAGAAATACAAAACACCCTCTTTGCCCATTTTTAGAGGGTACACAAATGAAATTCAATTATAGCAAAACGATCTGATGAGCAGCGAGCTTCCTGTGGGTAGGCAGACAGTTGTTAGACGCCTGTTGAAACTCTTGAGGAGACTCTGTAAATAATTTACACACTCGATTTAATGAGCATTTCTGTGACGGCTCTGTGGACACTCGGTCTCCTATTTATGCGCTCAATTTGCAGCTAAGCCATTCGAACTTAACTAACCAAACAACAAATTGGTTTGCGCTCGAAACGAATCAATGAAAATCGATGCAGACGCAGCCGCCGGGGCGCCTTCCCCCCGCCGGGGCGACCTGCTGCTGTGCCACGCATGGCCAGAGCCCGGAGAAGGAATACAAAATAATTGACAGCAGCAGCAGCTGCAGCGGCAGTTGGGCGTTCATCTGAGTGACAGACCAACAGACAGACGCAGTCAAAATCCAGGCGAGATTTGGGCCAGGGGATATGTGTGGGTAAAACTGTCTGCCGCTGTGCTCCTGCTCTGCACTCCAGGAGCATCAGTAGCTGCTGCTGTGGCGTCCTCTCTAAATTGGAAATGTCATTGAGGCGTTTAACTTGCGCAGCGTCAACGACATCGACAGCGATTGAAACCTGGCGAGCCACCTGCCTGGCGAGCTACCTGCCAGGCTGGCTAAAATCATTTAAAACCGGCCTGACCCCGGCCAAGGCATACGAATCCATATCCGATTCACAGTTCAAATGCAAGTCTCTGCAAAATGACAGCCAATTGTTGCAGGCGGCCACTTAGCAGACGAGCCCCGCCCCCCGCCTTAAACCGCCTTACCTTCGTCCAACAATCGGCAGCGGGGAGTTAAGCTGGCCGCGCTGCTCTGGTATAACCTGTACTGGACTGAAAGCGGGTGTGCCAGGCTGTTATCTAGATCTCTTTATAAGTTTTCAGCTATTTTGGAATTTAATTTTTGTTACACATACATTTGCATGTCAGCTTTAAAACCGGAAAAGGCATACATATCCCTGATCCGGAGGCTATTGGAGCTAAAGGCTTAAGGAGGAAAACTTTTTGTAAAAGTTAACTATTTCACCCTTGGGCAACCCTCAGCCACTCCTTCACATCTTGGCAGGCACATTCTTCATTTTAAATATATATACAAACATTTGATTGCCATCCTTAAACCCGGAAAATATCGTACAGTTAAGACAAATGTTATTAAGGAATATAAGTTCAAGTAATATGAAGCAAAGGAGCGAAGCAGCTCGCAAATGGGAAACTAGTTCCAGGGTAACTGCCAGTCGTGTGAGCTCGGATCCCTTACCTGCTTTATCAATTGGTTAATTACCTAATGCCGTAATTCAATGCGACTTTTAATAAGGTTTTATTTATTTATTTAATTTTTTTTTTCACATTCTTAATACTGTTTATTATACAAAACTGGCGACCACAAACTTGATTCTGAGAGCATTATAGAACACTCTTGAGTTCTGATTGGCACTTATTAAAATAAAAACTCAAAAAAAATAAATAAAAAAAATTGGATGATTGGAAAGTGGAACGGAATGTGAGAACTGCATGCATGATCTTAGGAACTAGAACAATAAAATATGGAAGGGAATCTTAGGACGCATATTCACAATTGATCTTAGGAACTGGAGCCATTAAATATTTCACTTCTGGAAACCCTTCAGCCCCCTTACACACCTTAGCTCAACTCTCTGATAGACATACACATATGAATGCCATCTTAAGGCCCGAAATATATCATTACAATCGCAGAATAAACAGGAGCAGAGGACACAACTCTAAGCCGATTCCAGGGTAACACACAGTCGTGCATGCTCTCGTTGCTTACCTTTTTGATTGGTTGGCTGAAAGCAGCAGGGGCAAGGCAGCACGAAATCTTGACAAAGCAATTTAAGGACAGCCCGCACACACACTCACACACACATCCACACACCTGTACACACACACCTGTACACACACACCTGTACACACATTCAGCCTGGCCGATTGGAGCTGTCAATGCGCCGCCTTTTATTTGCTTTGCTCACTTGCAACATATATATATATATATATATATATTTGTTATACTCATATGCTTCTACCGCTCTTCTTCTTATCTTCCGGCACGAAACAGACAACAAATTCATTTGCGACTGTCGTCTGCAGTGGATCTTTGAATTGAAAAACCGGACACGTCATCTGCAGCTCCGTGACTCGCTGGAGGATATCATTTGTACGCTGCAGGAGCCGAAGCTGATGCATTTCGTGGACCCGGTGCCGTCGCACATCTTGGACGAGCTCAATGTTGGCGGCTTCACGGCAATTGGCAGCAACAGCGCCAGCATGGGCGGCATCGGCAACAGCCTCGGCAGCAGCATCGGCAGCAGCAGCAGTAACTACGCCAACCTGGAAGACCTGAGCAGCGGCACTGGACTGGCCATGAAGAAGCACGGCTCGACGAAGTCACGGCAGGCGCTGCGTGGCCAGCGTCAGTTCACGGATGTCCTTGCCGAGAATGTGGTAGAGTCGAAGCTGCGTGTGCGTCGCCAGCAGCCGGAAGGCGTGGCTGCCGTGGCACAGACCCAAAAACGTTACGACTACTACGACGAGGCCAGCGGCGGTCATGTGTCCGGCCTGGGCCTGGGACACGGCGGCTTGGACCTGGATGACAACCTCAATCTGCAGAAGCAGAGCACCTTCTACGGCGGCGCTGGACTCAGCAGCAGCAGCAGCAGCGGCAGCGGCAGCAGTGGCCATGCCCTGGCTCACAATAACGTGGAGCAGCCACTGACTGGCGATGCACTCGAAACTATGGCCAGCAAGAACTCGATCCATGTGCGTCTCTTTTTGCTGAAGCCCGACATGCTGCCCTGCCACGATGAGCTGAGTGATCCGACCGAGCTGCCGTTGTCCCGTGATCTGATGGATGTGCGCAGCAATGCGGGCCAGGATCTGTTCGCCAATGGAGGTGCCGCACGTCAGCTAAGGCTAAGCTATCTGCTGCTTGGAACTCCTGCTGCTGCTGCTGCCATCATCCTTCTGCTTAGCCAGGGCTGAGCTAATGCGTTTTCAGCCAATGAGTTTTAATTGTACATACTCGTGAGCATTCATTTGGTCTTAACTATATTAACTAAAGTGGGCCATATGGAACTTTCTTCATATGGAGTCGGTAGAACTTTTCGAAACGAGCTTCAAGAAAAATGAAAAAAAAACAAAAACAAAAACAAACATAATACCCCTAAAACTAACGTCTTGTAAATATGTAAAAATGGAAATTCGATAAACCTACTAATTTAAACCTAGCTATTAGCTCTGTAGCATTAGTCTCAACTTTGACAAACTTGAAGCAGCAGTAAAAGAATCCCAAAAAAAAAAACAGGAAAATTCCAAAAACCAAAAACCGAAACCGAAAAACCAAACAAATTGATGTACACTCAAAAAATTGTGTTTGCCAAAATGACAAAAGTTGCCATTTAATAAAAATGTTGTACTAATATCAGAAAATATATTTTTGGTTTGAAAAGAAATTTCTCAAAATATTTTCTGATATTGGTAAACATTTGTTTTATATAGTAATTTCTTCAAACATTTCTTTGAGTGTACGCGAAAAGCAGAACCTCCGAGCAAACTGGCGTTTCATTTAAACTCAATACTCAAAACTGAAACCGAAACCGAAAACCAAAAGTAAAATACAAATACACTGTACTACATAGCTATAGTTTTGACTAGCCATATAGTGTTGCAATTATATTTGAGATTCGTTTAATTGAGCAAGGTACACACTACAGTAAAAACTTGGAAAGCGCTAAACGTCTTAGGCACAGAGTCAAAAGCTAGCCCCAAACTAGATACAAGCTCTGGGGCTCAGCTCAGTAAAGTCCATCAGAGGCACGCCTGTAAAATAAACGCAAAAACTCACACACAGACAGCTGAACGTTCGATTGATAGCCGCTGGTTACACACTCTATAACTAAAAGAAGTTAATGAAATATAAATAAAAGTTTAATAGATTAGAGTATATGCTTAGTCGTCAGCCTGGTGCCGCTTCTGGAACCGGGCGCTCTCCTAGCAGTTAAGATTGCTTTTTAGAAATAAGCCAAAGACATACACATACACTCTGCCCTTCGCTCTGAGCCCTGCTGCTTGAGAAAGGGTATCTGCAGCCTGCAACTGTCGCCAAATATTTCCATTTCCATGAGCTGAGAGAAATTCTCATTCGAATCGCTTAACTTGAACTTTTACTTTCGCCGCACACACAACCAGACAAACTAAGAGAATATAAATAATTCAAATAAAATTGCGAATTTAATACTCTCTCATTTGAATTGATTCGAATTTTAGCAGATGGAATAATAATATGAAAAAAAAAAGAAAGCAGAAATATGCATAACGATTTTTGTAGCTTAAGACTGAATAAATAAAGGTAAATTATGCTTATACGCCATATAAACACATATATATGCACACATATAGATATGTCTGTATATGTTTGTGTATGTGTATATGTATTGTACGTTTAATTGTATTGTAATAAACGCAAGCTGGGGGAAAGGGTAATTCAATTTATATAGAGCACGCGAATCGAATATCGAGTAAATGAAATCCAAAATTCATGCATAAATGCACACACACTCATAAATACATAGAGAGTTAATATACATAAGTGCATATTTGCAATTTATTTAAGCTCGTCGATAAATTTATTGCCAATTTAATTATGCACAAAATATATATATAATTTGCATATGCAAAAACCGAAACGCTGAATCTCTACCACGTTTGATTAATGTCTGTGTTTTCAAGAACAAAATACAAGTAAATAATATGATGAATAAAATACAAAAACCAATTGCGAATTACAACTAACTGTAATAAAAAAAAGAAGATAACTCAAATAGAGCAGAAATAAAACTCGACAGCATTAGAAGCAAGCATAGTTTTTAGTGGACAATCAAGCAGATAAAAGAAGGAAAAGCGCAAAGCGAAAAGGAAACGGAGAAAACTGACACAGAGAGAACGTGGAAAATTGGTCAATCGCCAAAAAAAAAGTGAATAACTTGAACAGTTTAGCGGCGAAAATTGAGCAGCACGCAAAGCAGAAACGTAGACAAAAAAAAAACACACACACTTCAGCTAAAATTAAATAAACAAAAAACAAAATATATATATACAAAGAAAAAAAGGATTAAAAATATAAAGAAAATTAAGTTTAAGCTAAATGTATTTAGAGTTTTCATTAGAGCTAAGCGCATCGGAAAGTTTAAATAAAAGTGCAACAAAAACAAAAAAAAAAAAAAAAAAACGAAAAGTGAAACTTGATTAAAATTTCCAAGAAGCAAACAGCACATTTTACTGGTGTTGTTTGCGTTCTCTAGAAGCATTTTTTAACCCAAAATTCAATTATGTTCCCAAAAGTTTTCTAGCGTTAGATGATCTTTCATTTGGTCGAATTCGCAAATGGCCTCTAAAGTAAACTTGATTAGTTTAGTGACTCGAATCTAATGCATTAAATGCTTTGTATTTTGTAATAAATTAAACTTAATTATTATTTCATATTTAGCCTTAAGCGTTCTTAACCAAAGAGTCTTGAGTTCCTGATGCTTGCCAGTTTTGTTTTAAGTACGCTTTACTATTTATATATATATATATATATATGTTCTATCTCTCAGTTCGAACTACTTATAATAATAATATGAATGGCACCGAGTAACGTAATTTTAAATATTTAACAATTTAATGTAGCTTACATAATTATTTTAACTTAAATGTACACAACAAACGATACAGTGAAATATTTACCAGAAAAATGCATTGTAAAAGAAATACCAAAAAAAAAAAAGTAAGAAAAAAACATAAATATATAAAAAAAAATATACTTATATAAATGTACTTGATGTAAGAAAGTTTGCTAAAACGATAAAATGTCAAGAAATTCCCCCAAAAAAATGAAAAGCTGGCCCCCGTCTGTGGCAAATGTGGGCGTTGGCGCAATGAGGGCGTGGCGCAATAGCGAAACGCAAAAGAAAAAGAAAACCCGAAAATAGCACCGACAACAAACATTCCAACTGCAATATTTTGTTTAACATTTTACCTAGAAAAACCCTAGAAAGAAATCCTTGCGCTCATTGCGCCCCACATTTGCGTGACAAAAACAATTTTCGAATGGAAAAACGTCTAAATATATTTAATGTATAAAAAAAAAATAATATATGAAAATTTGTGTTTTCACTTCCACTCGACAGGGATGCGCATGCAAATTAAAATCAACAAGAAAGCGAGACAAAGCTGCGGCACGCCGAAGCTCAAATACTCTGTAGACAAATAGATAAATGTTTTATGGCCTCAAAGATCATATCATTCTGTGCGTTACATATTTCATTTAAAATGCATAATATCCTTTGTTAGGGGTAGAATAAAGGCCAGCGTTTGCCCTGTTTTATGCACATCCGCAATTTAATCGCGCGCGCGCTGAAAAACATTTTTTTGGCACGCGGCAAAGTATGCAACATATTTTGCAATGTAAAGGACACAAAGGCTGGCGCCTAAACGACAAAGTATGCGCCGCAGGACATGCACCGCAGGAGCAATATTTTGTTAAATTTCATTATTGATCGATTGACGGCGGTTGCGGGATGGTGGGGGGTGAACGGAGGGGGGAGGGGTGGGCGGTGCGAGGTGGGCGTGTTGCAACGCTTTGCATAAGAAATTGCTGTAAGGCGTGGGCGTGCCTGTACAGTGCAGCGGGGCGGGAGTGCGGGGGGCCATAATGCGACACACACATTACTCATACGCCGCGTGCGTGTGTGTGCGTGTGTGTGTGCCTAATGAAGTTGTATTGCATATGGAGCGCGAATAAGCTACCAATCGGCGACGCCTGTTTGCCACTTCATAAATGGATGATTGTCGGGGCGCGGGGGCTGGGGCGGGGGCGTTCTTCCCCTGCTTGTGGGCGTGTCGCTGCTTGTCTGTGCGGTTGGTGGTACAAAAAAAAAAATAGTGAAAAGTCTGCAAAGTGATAAATTGGATTCAAACAGTGGAGCAGATTTATTGATTTCGTTGCAAGGCACAGGCAGGGGGGAAAGGGAAAGGGCTACCGGCGCAGAGCCCGTCAAATTGAATGTACGCCATAAGCGACAAAAATCAAAAACAGATATGCAAATATGCACACACAGACGAGCACACACACACAAACACGCACACACATGCAAGAAAATGGCGCTGAAAAATGGCAAAAACTGGGAAAAGAGCAGCCGAACGCGTTTTTTTTTCGCCAAACCATGTGCGACGTGTCAAATTTTTGCAACTGATTATGCCAAAGGCGAGCGCAGAGTGGGAAAGAGAGGGGAAGAGAGTGCACTGTGCGTATGTGTGTGTGCGTGGCAGACGCGTTGCTAGACGACAATATCAAGCAAAACGACAACAACAACGAAAACAACAACAGTCGCAGTCGGTGCTTAGTGCCCGCGGCTCAAGCTGAAGTGCCCGCGAAACCAGGAGCCAAGAGTCAGCCCCACCGAATTCTGGACTATTATAAAGCGGTTGTGTGCCAGGCAACGGCCACGACGAAGTCAACAGTAAATGCGGCGCAAAAAATCAATCAAGCGTCCAAAAACACTGGAAACAAGAAAGTTGCGTTTTCCTCTGGCAGCAGAAGATAAGATACGCTGACAAAAAATACGACAGACTTGTGATCAGTTTCTGTTCTTGGCTAAAAGACGCACTTTTCATACCTTTATGGAAGAGATTTCCAATGGGAGCTCTTGGAAGAGCAGGTGGCCAACGGCGCGTATGAGTGATAAAAAGCATTGAGCATAGAATTCATTGCATACTTTTTGGGGAATTCAGTTTTCTATACGGAACTGGAAAGCATTAAGCTTAAAAAGCACAAAAAAGGTTGACGCATATGTTGGGATTTATTTGGTTATTATGTTGTTATTTGTTAATTTTTAAGTTGAAGCTTGTAATTCTCAACAAGTTAAGGTTTCGTGATCTTAAAACGTTCTGCTGAACTTTAAGCTATAAATTCTAATATAAGGCTGTCAGGATTGAGCTCAATG